AACACATAATGAGATCACATATAACCTCATCATAGTGATAGAGTTTACAACACATAAGGAAATCACATCAGATTACACAATCATACAATACTGGGAATCATGACCCAGCCAAGTTGACAAGTATTTTTGGGGGACACAGTTCAATCCATGACAGTATGATAAGGGTTATCATTGCTTTTTTCACCCTAAAAGTTTTTTGGCTCTTCATGTCTTTTCAAACTGATGGAGGTGTCATTAACCTAGGAAGAATTTAAATCTTTCTAATAAAGTATCTAGTTATCATTATACAACTCATATTTTTCTCAACATTTGTGTGTGTGTGTGTTTTATATAGCTAGTACCAAGAACTAAAAGTTTATCTTTTATTTCTTTAAAGGACTTTGGGTGTCCTTGAAGCTATTGCCAGGTGACCTGACACAGGTTCAGAAGAATTTTTCACACTTGGTTGACAGATCAACAGCAATAGCCCGAAAAATGGGATTTCCTGAAATAATACTGCCAGGTAAACACCGTGCTTGACGCAGCTATTCTACTTCCTCTGGAGCTTTCATCTTGCAGTGATTACTTCTAACAGGACAGTTGAAACAACATGTATCCATAAGATATACTTTGTTATTTGCATCTACTGGGATCAAAACATTAGGAGATACAAACTGAGTTACAGTACCCTAAAAAGCTACCCAACCGTAGACCCAACATAATGCTTTTAAGTGTAACTCAGAAATTTCTGCTCACCCTCTCTTTCTTTGTGTTCTGCACAAACCCCTTCCAAATGTTTTCTTAGACCTTTTGGTAAGAGGAGCTGATGATGGTACAGGGTTCTCTGTCCCTGAGACTGATTTACTTCATTTGCATGTGCCTTTTCCCATTATTACATCACTAGCATCATGGGCTCCTTTGGAGCAAACCCCACGTGATGCTTGCTTGGTTCAGTCACAGCTGGACCTTCTGCTCCTTTTCCTTAGGTTCCAACTGTGTTCTTGGCTCTCCTCAGTCTTGTGGTGACAAGAATGCAAACATTCTGCAGTTTCTTTCTTTAGTTTCATCTTTTTTTGCCACTACATCTTGGTGATCTGCATATGTGTTCTTTTGAATTCTCTGACTTCACCAATTTAATTTCTTAATCTCTATAATAGTGAAAGGAGATCATTCCCTCAAGGAATTTTAGAAATACTAATAGTCAATCTTTGGCATGTTAGAAAATTTCCGGAAAATCGACCTGTTACCTACTATATAAAAATTCAGGTTTTTTTTCAAAGTAATTCAAGATCTTATTCCTCTTTTAGGAGATGAAAGGGCAGTAATAATTTGCTGCTGTACACATTGTCTGCACATTAAAACTCACTGCTGTGGAGTCTATTCTGACTCATAGTGACCCTATAGGACAGAGTAGAACTACCCCCATAGGGTTTCCAAGGATGTAAACTTTACAGAAGCAGACTGCCATATCTTTCTCCCCTGGAACCATTGGTGGCTTCTAACCATCAATCTTTCTGTTAGCAACCAAACACTTTAACCACTGACCCACCAGGGCTCCTTTGTCTGCACATAGAAAAACAAACCCGTTGCCGTCAAGTCGATTTTGACTCGTAGCAACCCTATAGCAGCAAAGAGTAGAACTGCCCCATAGAATTTCCAAGGAGCAGCTGGTGGATTCGAACTGCCCACCTTTTGGTTAGCAGCCAAGCTCTTAACCACTGCACCACCAGGGCTCCTTGTTTGCACATAGTGGGTATTAAATGAATATTTATGGAATGAATGAATGAATAAAAGCTATAAATGGAGATTGATCTTTCATAAAAGAAGATAGTTCTTTATCTGCTTATTTCATCCATTCTAGAACTTTTTTATCCTAATACGTATCTGTAAACATTCTAGGACAAGTTTTGTCTTCTTGTGGTTAAAAAGGGTTGGAATTGATTCAGTGGCAAGGGATGTCTTTGGTATTTAATTTTCCCTAATTGAAGACAGGGAATTTTTATTGCTATAACAAGACAGGAATGAAAAAAATAAAACAGAAAAGTTTATTCTTTGGACATGGTCAGTTTTGCTTTGAAATCTGGCTGGAAAAGAAATCTTTAGATTCTTTTTGATCAATAGGATTGGTTCCTAGAATGCTAGAGCTGTAACAGATTTCACAAACCATCCAGCACTATGGTTCCCAAATGCTAGTCTTTGGATTTGTTAATCACCTGGGAAACTTTGAAACACAGATTCCCAGATTGCTCTAGAGATTTCTGAGTTTTTTAAATAAGATTATGGCTTCCCAGGTGATTCTGGTAATCCGCCAAGTTTGAGAAATACAGACCTAGGCCAAACTCTCTCGCTTTATTTCTCCTTCCCCTCACCATCTAAACATGCTCCAGTCACCTCTTAACTCTTTCCTGTACGCCATTTTTCCTCTTGTTAAGGCACTCTCACTTTCTGCCCTCGTCTTCACAGCCAGACTCTTGGAAGTTAGTATATACACTTGCCATCTCTGTTCTTGCACCTGCCCGTCACCGTCCAGCCTACTCCAGTCAGCCCTCCTTCCCCATTGTTCTCCAGAGCAATGACTGCAGTGTGGCTAAATCCAATGCATATTTTTTAGCCTAATAGTCATCTCTGGCCTCTAAGCAGCATTTGACACTGTTGACCACTCCCTTCTTGAAATATTTCCCCTTCTCATTTTGCAGCCCCACACTGTCCTGTTTTTCTCTATTCCTCCAGGCCACTCCTAGGACTCCTTTGCCAACTGACCGTCTTCTCCCACGCCTTTAAATGTGACTGTGCCTCACTGTTTAGTTCTTAGGCTCTTTTCCTTCTCATCTGTATTCTCTCCTTAGGTGATCTGATTCACTTATTTGGCTTCTGTCTGTCAGTTGCCTCCAAATCCATATCTCTAGCCTGGAGACCCTACTTCTGAACTCCAGGACCATGTATCCAACTACTTCTTGCCTCAGGGCTTTAGTACTGTAGATACGTCTCTCACCCTCCTCTCAGACAAGGATCAGTCTTCTCATCTCTTTATTTAGTTAATTCTAACTCACCATCTCTACTTGGAATTCCTAATCCTATGTGTCTAGACCAGGTGCTCCTCTGTAGTGTTTTATCTAGGAGAACAAACGGCACTAGCATCCTTCTAGCTACACAAACAAGAAGCTGGAAAGTCACACATGACACCTCTCTTTCCCTTGTACCTCACATAAAATTAGTGTGTAAGACCTGTCACTTTTACCTTCGAAAGACCTCTCAAATCTATCCTCCTCTCTCCATTTCCATTGCCAAAATCTGAGTCCTGGCTACTGTCCTCTCTCCCTTGGACAGCTGCTGTAACTTCCTAATGGTTTCCCTGTTTCTGCTCTTTCTTACCTCACATCTTCTTCTCCGCACTCTAGGATGAATGATCTTTTTTAAAAGCACACCTGATTATGTCCGACTCCTCCCCTTGCTTAAAACATTGCAGTGACTTTTATTTATATTTAGGATAAAAATACAAAATTTTTACCTTGATCTGCTAGCCTCAGGAGGATTTGGCTTTTGTCTGTCTCTGTAGCCTCATCTCACACTGGATACTCCCTCACTGTGAGAATTTCGGTTATACTGTCTACTACCTCTGGGCCTTTGCACATGCTGCTCTCGCTGCCTGTTACTCTCATCCTTCCAATATCAGCTCAAAGGAAAGATCTTCACACCCTCCAGAAAAGGTCAGGACCTTGTGCTCTGCTTTTACAGAGCCTGGTCTGTTCCTTTATTTGTAATGATACATTTAATTGTGTCATTATTTGACTCTCCTCCACTAGATGCTGAGCTGTATGAGGGTAAGGCTGGTACATAGCTCACACCATCTCCCGAACACCTAGCACAGTGCTAGGTACAGAATAGTTGCTCAATCAGTTTTGTTAATGTAATCCCATTATCTGATTGTACCATAATTCATTCAACCAAATCTCTTGGTTGGAAATTTAGGATGTTTGCAAGTTTTTGCTTTCTTAAACAATGTCAAATGAATGTCCTTATCCATAAATCATTGACCACATTTTCAATTTCTTGGGACAGATTTTACCAGTGGAATTACAGGGTCATTTACTGCATTTGATGCAAATTGTCAGTTTTTCCATCAAAAAAGATTGTATCAATTGAGATTTCAAACTGTAATGTATGAACAAGCCCCTTTTTCTTTACCCTCTCTAACTGTAGACCATAACTTAATTTTTTTTCCAATTGGATAAGTGATAAAAATGACATAATGATCTAAATGTACAGCCCTGTTTATTTTACAGTACAGTAAGGTTTACATTTTTACACTGGGAGGCAGTTTAGTATAATACAGATTTTGGAGTCATTTTTACAGACTGAGTCTTCCCATCCAGGAACTTGATATGCCTTTCATTTTTTCCAGGTTTCTTTTATGTACCTGAATAAAATTTAAACTTTTTCTTCACTATGGGAACTAGCCATTAATTAATTAGAAAAATTTTTGACTAGTTAACAACAACAATAACAACAAATCACAAGCATTAATTATTCTGGTATTGGTAAAAACAATCAAGCTGATTTAAATAAAGTACTCCACTGACTTTCAGAAACAGTTTCTCATTAGATTGTTATGAAGATTAAATTAATGCATGTAGTACTTTGAACAGAGCCTGCCAGCTAGTAAGCATGCAATAAACATTAGCTTTCATTTTCAGATAAGATAAAATATCATATTCCCCAAGACATTATTGAAAAAACAATCTGCCACTATAATGTAGTAAAAATTTATTGTGTACTTATTATTAGACAACCAAATTTATTCCAACTCATAGTGAACCTATAGGATAGAGTGGAACTATACTATAGGGTTTCCAACGCTGTAAATCTTTACAGGAACAGACTGCCACATCTTTCTCTTGTGGAGTGGCCAGAGGGTTTGAACCACCAGCTGTTCGGTTAGCAGCTGAACACTTAACCACTGAGTCACCAGGGCTCCTTATTAGATAACAGTTATTGATAAATAGAGCAAAGCATTACTATTGAAAAGAGTGATTTCAAAAGAAAAAATACACTTCAGCGAATTCTTGGCATGTATGGAAAGACAGAATGAAGTAAGCCCTGGAGAGCAGTACATGCAAAAGACTTGTTGTATGCATAGTTCATTATGAAGTCAGACTATTTCATATTTTACTTACTTTTTATATCTTCTTACATCCTGTAACTTAAAAATGACATCTCTCAGCAGCACTCTCAGAATGTTTGTTATGTTGTAGGAGATGTTCGGAATGATATCTATGTCACCCTGATCCATGGAGAGTTTGACAAAGGGAAAAAGAAGACACCAAAGAATGTAGAGGTGACCATGTCTGTGTATGATGAGGATGGCAAGCTCTTAGAGGTATGTGGCATCACCCAGAAATGCTGCTGCCATCAAATGCCTTTGTACAGTAAAAATGGACTTTTGACCTAATTGTAATTTTTCTTCAAGTTAGGGTGTGCTTGGTTGTTCATAAGGAAAATATATGAAACCTGTTAAATTTGTGATTAGCCATTATCATTTTTGCTAATATCCCCATTTAGATTCTTATTTTCATATTTTTCCTGTGCTAAGAAGTATCTCAAGCCACTAATGACTTCATGTATAAGCTTATGATGCAGAGGTTCTTTATCATTTTCAAGTTATTTAGCCACTTCCCAGCCTGATAAGATCCTCTGGGGCTTGAGTGAAGAGGCCTGAGGTAGTTAAAGGCGCATTTCCTTCTCCTGGATAAGCAGAACCATAGGAGACGTGGCCATTATAGAATTGTTAAACCAGAAGAGACCTTGGTTAGAGATCAACTATCACTGCTGTTTTATTTTGATAACCAGGAGACTCGAGCCCAAAAAGCACAGGTTATTTTCTCAGATAACACAGGAGTTAGTGGCAGAGCTAGGAATGGATCTGGGTATTCTGACTTCCAGTCCAGAGTCGCTCCAACTGTGGTATTCTGTTCACATCTAGAAGAAATAATTTGACTTCTGCCATCAAAGAGAAAGATAGACAGGAGATGGTTACAGGAGGCCTCCATTGCCTCAGCTGAAATCTGACTCCTCTTGTATGAGCCAAAGTTAGCTGCTTTGGAATCCAAGAATCAAGCCCTTAGTTCAGTAAACCTCATGGAGTGCCTTCTTGCATAGGTTCTTGAGTACAGTGAAAGGCACATCCTGTCACATTCCTCAAGGATTTAATAGTCTTTGAAGGAAGCAGATATACAAACAATATACTGAGTCAGGTTGTACTCTGTGTTAGAGGGATAAACAGACTACTGTGGGCTACAATGTGGGAGTGATGTATCTGTGCTATTGGACTAGAACCCTGAGCCCTGTGAGCTCATTCCAAATACACTTCTTCTCCTGGTTGGTTATTTCATAGCTTTTCTAACTAGCTTGGAAGTGCCCAACCAAGGCCTGATTCTCCTGGATGAAATGGTGCATTATTAGGAAAAGATACAGCCTTACGTTTCAGTTAACATGCTGTAGTTTGACACCAAGTCCTCCAAGCAAAATGTAGTCAGGAGGAAGTCATTTTCCTCAAATAGTGTTATGTCTGCATATGTGACATAGCTCCCAGTCACCATCACTGCACCTCTGTTACCTGAGAGAGAAAAGAAGAAAGAGAATGTACAGCTGGGGGTGGAAGTTACAGGAAAGAAGAGTGCTAATACAGTGCTGGGTCCCTTTACTACTATCAGTTTTATAGACTTAGACCCTCAAATGAAGTGGTAGAACTTATAATCTTACTCTACTCTTCACTTGCAAATTTGATCAGCTTATGTGTGCAAGTGTAAGGCATGATGTATGCAGCACTCTTACTCTTCTTGATAATATTCTCTCCTCCTAATTTGTTTTTTTTTTTCCCTCCAAAGAAAGCAGTTCATCCCGGGGCCGGATACGAAGGCATTTCAGAGTACAAGTCAGTGGTTTACTACCAAGTCAAGCAGCCCTGTTGGTATGAGACTGTCAAGGTGAGACTGCGCCATTTGTAGCCCCTGCTGTATGGTTACCCTCCTCTGGATCCTTTTCTTCCTGTTATCCACAACTCATCCCAGCTTTACCCTTAAGTTTTAGATAGGTTTCTTGTGGTGTACAATAAGAACTGTATTGATAATAATTCTGTATAATAGTGTTTATCCCTAATAAACATAGAGTCCTTAACATTTTCATTCATAAATGTGTAGGAATTTGAATACAGAAACTAGTAGCTGTAATGATATAACTAGGCTGCCAGGATGCTCTAAAACTAAATGGAAATTTTTACACTTACCTGTACTCTGCGGATAGTTTCCTAACATATTTTTCTTCGTGGCCTCTAACCAAGTTTTCTGAGCCTCTTTTTGGTTTAAATATGTGTATTACAAATTCCAAACTGCTTTTCACATCTGTCATCTTGTTTGGTCCCCACAGTAGCCCTGTGACTATAACAAGGTGTTGTAATGCCCTCTTTCTGATTGGGCAACTAGGACTGAAAGATGTTAAGTGACTTCCCAAGAACCTATAGCTACTAGTGCCAGAACCTAAACTAGAGCCCACTTTTTCTGAACCCAGACTCCATCAACTCTTTCTGATTATCAAAGTCATATGAGCTCTTTATAGAAAATTCATAAAAATTGTACTATATTACCTCAATCAAAAAACCAACCCAAACCAGATTTGTCAATTCAGAGGTAACTATTTTCAACAATTTTACATAATTTATATGTTTTAAATTAGGCTATATACACAATTTTATACCTTGTTGTTTAAAACTATCTCAAGGTAGTAAAAGTTCATCAGAATCATATTTTTAAATAATTGCATAACGTTCCACTATATACAATCATGCCAAAATTTAACTATTCATCATGAATTCTTCGCTCTTTCATTGCCCCGTAGCCCTGTTTTTCCCTGCCTCCTTTGTACATTTAAGCAGCAAAAAAGCTTTCTTACCCTCAGTATTTTATCTTTTCCTTCTATTATAAAACCAGCTGCTGTTGACTGTGACTCATGGCGACTGCACATGTGCCAGAGTAGAACTGTGGGTTTTCAGTGGCTGATTTTTTTGGAAGTAGATCACCAGGCCTTTCTCCCAGGGTGCCTCTGGGTGGACCCAAACTGACAACATTTTGGTTGGCAGTTGAGTGCATTAACCATTTGCATCACCCAGGGACTCCTTCTATTATTAAAAAAAAAAAAACCCGTTGTCATTAAGTCTATTTGAACTCATAGCAACCCTGTATGACAGAGTAAAACTACCCCATAAGGTTTCCAGGGAGCTGCTGGTGGATTCGAACTGCTGACCTTTTAGTTAGCAGCCAAGCTCTTAACCACTGCTCCAACAGGGCTCCTCCTTCTATTATAGACCCTAATTATTAGCATATCAGTATTGCCATATTAATATACTCTTTGTAGTCTGAAAGGTCCCATATAGACCACAAAGTATCAGTGTTTTCCCTCTGAAATATTCTCTGGCTCATACATGAGAAAGTACCAAAAAATTGTAATATCTCCATACTGAGAATCTATAATAAACAGTGAAGACAACCTTCTGAGATTCTTTTGGTTTGAAAATAGCAAAATCTCCTTTGAATGAAACATTATGCCAGATTTTACTCTATAAGAAGTTAGTGGTGTAAGAAGATTCTAAAATCAAGCCTAATTCTCTAAAATGAACTATGAGTATGAAGTACTATTGTATGTATACATAAACTATTAAACTCCTTATTATTATGCAGGTATCCATTGCTATAGAAGAGGTCACACGCTGCCATATAAGATTCACATTCCGACACAGGTCATCACAGGAATGTAAGTATTAGGAGGTGTGTGCCATATTTCGGAAACGCTGGTGGTGTAGTGGTTAAGAGTTCGGCTGCTAACCAAAAGGTCGACAGTTTCATTCCACCAGGCGCTCCTTTGAAACCCTTCGGGGCAGCTCTACTCTGTCCTGTGGAGTCGCTATGAGTCGAAATCGACTCAATGGCAGCAGGTTTGGTTTTTTTTTTTTGGTGACATATTTCCATAAGAAATATTTACTCTTGCTTGCAATGCTGTTGTGGGTCTAGAGAACAAAATACTTGCAAACTAGACACTTGGCAGCTTTACTTTAGAATTCACTGGTGCTAAGGAAACCACATGATGAATTTTCATGGGCTTCCAAGTTCTGCATTGTCACTCTATCAGAATTTCCCAAAAATATTTTCTGAAGAACATTAAAGTTCTGAGAATGCTAATAGATGCTCTATGAGAAAAGGGATCCCATAGACAAGTAAGTGTGAGAAACGCTGCGTATTATATCTCCCTCTCAGACATTGACAACGCATGTTCTCAGCATGTTGCTGAGAAGTCCTACATCAAGAAAACTGTTTTAACTTTTGTTTAATCTCTTACCCCTCAAATTATTTAACAACAGACCCATGTTTTCCGTGAAAGAGCTACTTCAAGTCTTAGATCACAGTTCATGAAATACTGCTCTAAAGTATGAACAGAGAAGAAAATTGATTATTTTCAGATTGATCACAGAATTTCTGGAGATATCTTTGTTCTCATTCAGCACGGTATAAAAATTTAATCCCTCATTCCAAAATGCACTTATTGGACACCATCTACATTCTAGGCTGCAGGCTAGGCCTTGGGTATATAACAGCAAATAGGATGCCACCACTGTCCTGAAGACCCTCTGTGGTCTAGTTAGGAAAACAAACAGGAGAACCTATGATTGAGTACAGAGGAATGTGACATGTGCTACCGGAGTGAGCTGCGTGCTGTTAGGGAGCACATAGCAGGGCTCCCTAACCCAGGCCAGGGAGATATATGTGTAAGATGTGCTACATCTAAGCTGAGACTCGAAGGTGAGTAAAAGCCCAGCAAAGGATAGCATTGAAGAATTGTGTTTTGTGAACCAAAGTGAGTTCACTGTGGCTGAGATTAGAGTGTTGGTAGCAATAATAATATTAGGTTGAACCATATGAAACTGCATTTATGTAGGTCAAAATAGTCAAAGAGCAACAGTTGCATATGGTTCTACAAAATACTAAAGTAAGATTTATTGAGCCCTTAGTTCGAACCAGACACTATGTGAAGCTCTGTTTGTACACTATCTTGTTTAGTACCCATGTAAATCATATGAGGTACATCCTAATTTTATCTGTCCTGGGGAGGAGAGAGATAAAATACTTGGCCAGGGTCACAGGCTAGTAAGGAATAGATCCTGGATTGGCATCTAAGCAATCTGATTCCAGATGAACTAGAGTCAGATCCTGAAGGGTAAAGGTTCTTTTGAGCTGTGTTATGGAGGAGACATTAAAGGGTGTTAGGGTTTTTTTTTTCTTGGGGGGTACATGTTCATAATAGCTTTGTTCATAATATTCCAAAATTGGAAATAGCCCAAATGGCCATCAAGAGGAGAATGTATAAACAAATTATGGTATAAGCATATAGTGGATTATACTCAGCCAATGTAGGCATACACCTGAGTCACAGCAGACCTTACAGCCTTGTCTCTGGTGAGAACAGGCTACAGGTTACCCCAGGCAGACAACACGGTGAGCACTGAGGCCGAGACCTGAAGACCGGGAGAGAGAGAGCTCTATGTCCTTGTGAGGCTAGACCTTCTCTCCAAATGCTACGAGGCCCACATATCCACTTCTGGCACCTGAACTACATCTTGGGAAGGAAGAGGAGAGGCGAAACTGTGGGTGATGTCAGAAACCTTGGAATACTGATAAATACCTCACGGACTCTTAAGTTTTAAAACAGTAGAAATTGAGATATCTCATTAAAAGGTTTTGAAGCAGAGTAGATACATGAGACTAAATGTGCATCTCCTGTCCGGAGGCAAGATGAGAAGACAAACAGTCAGAAGCTGGTTGAATGGACACAGGAAATCCGGGGTGGAAAGGGGGAGTGTGCTGTCACAGTATAGAGAGAGCAACTAGGGTCATATAACAATGTGTGTATAAATTGTTGTATGAGAAACTAACCTGAATTGTAAGCTTTCATTTAAAGCACAATTTAAAAAAAAAAAGAAAAAAAAAAAGTCTCGAAGCAGGGCAGTTGACATGATTAGATTTGATTTTGGAAAACTCACTCTGGCTACAGTGTGGAAAAAGTGTTGAATAGGATAAGACTAGACACAGACCAGTTGAGAAGCATTTGTAAAAATACAGGACAGAGGCGAGAGTGGCCTGAACTCAGGTAGGAAGAGAAGGGATGAAGAGAAAAGGACAAGTCCCAGAGGTATTCAGGACATGAAGGTGACGTGAGTGGGAAGTTGGTGTTAACGCCCTCACTTCTGATTTGGATGATTAAGTGGATGTGGTCTCATTCACTAGGGAACATTAGAAGAGGAGTGTATTTGGGGGGAACAGAAGACTTCAGTGTGGGAAATGTCTCGTTTGAAATAGTACGCGTAGCTTATTGTCGCTTGCTGAACTGTTTCTATAACGTGGTTGAACGTCACACCCCACTGCAAGATGTGAGATCAGCCATCACAGCTGTCAACTCCTAGTGTCTGTACTGCTCAGACACGTTATTTTTGTCTTTTCAGCCAGAGATAAATCGGAGCGAGCATTTGGGGTGGCCTTCGTGAAACTGATGAACCCGGACGGCACCACTCTGCAGGATGGGAGGCACGATCTGGTGGTTTATAAGGTGGAGATGAAACAGTGTGGCTCAGAGAATTACTGAGAATTATTTACTCCCATAGAAACTGGCTTTGAAGACCCCTTTTAGTTTGATATGTACACATATCAGAAACGTCTATAGAGCTATACTTGTTTGCCCCTTAATGTCTAGAAGCTTAGAGGGCTATGGTCACACCAGCTGTGTCGTCTTCCATCCTCATTCTGGGAAGAGTGAGTTGCATTATTATTTAGTCTTCTAGAGTGCATCCCACCCACTCTTGTAAATTGTGTTCCGCAGCAAGTGAGTGGTAAAAGGGCTCTCTTCCCTCCTACTCTTTGCATCATCCTGCGTGGAGCGTAGACAGTTGCACTGGTGGGAGTTGGTTAGAGTGTGTGTGGTGGTTGTGGTAGGATGTGGTTTTCATATCACCATGAGCCAGGCACCATTACCGTGCTATGGGGCATTCTTTCCTTCCCTAACAGTTCTGTCCCCATTCTTCCCCTCTAACTGCTGCTGAGCCATTGCCTCTACTGCGATTTTAGAGCATAGCTTAGATACTGAAAGATCTTGTCTTATCTAGCAATATCCAGCGGGCTTTTCACATAGTTGGCAGCTTTTTTGCAGTGCATCTACCAGGTGTATATTTTCCTTAACTTAGGCTCCTTAGTTTATAAATAGTTTTGGAAGACATAGCACGTTATTTCTTCCTCTATCAACCCAATGAAGTATAATTGTTACCATTTACAGGTTTAAAAAAAAACAAAATTCAACTGTACTTTCTAGTATATTTGCTTACTTATAGCAAAGATTAGGATATTCTGATTTTTAGCTCACAACCTAATTCTATTTTCATTCAATAAATTCACTGTTTTTGGGTTGTAACCTCAACGTCTATGGAAGGGTATCAAAATGTCTCAGAGTTAGAAGGGGTGTTATGCATCTCATCTTAAAAAATGCTCTGTGTTCACGTTAAAAAACTTTGTCTATTTGCGTGTAAGAGATTTTTCCCGTCATTTGGTGTTCCTAACGTGTTTTTTCCCAAGGGTGACAACAAAAAAATGGAAGATGCTAAATTCTACCTGACCCTGCCTGGCACCAAGGTGGAGATGGAAGAAAAAGAGCTCCAGGCATCCAAAAACCTGGCCAGCTTTACCCCAGCCAAGGATAGCACAAAAGATAGCTTTCAGATTGCCACCCTCATTTGCTCCACAAAGCTAACCCAGAACGGTAGGTGTGGTGACCACATTGGCACCAGAATGTGCTTTCTGCTTGGTCTTCCTGGGCATCTTTGTTAGACTCGTGGGCTGGACTATACGGGGCTGTGTCTTCTAAGGGTGGATGCTGGGCAATTTGGATTTTGTTTTCTGCTCTTCAAATGATGTTCTGAGTGGTTCTGATCAAACAACTAAAGCTCCTTCTGAGATTTTGTTGCTCATCTTTAAAATAGGATGAGAAACATACCAGTATTTTTTACTTTCATAAAACCTGTAAATGCATGCATTAACAAAAACTGAAAACTTTAAAAATCTTATGTTTCCTTCCTTAAAGGCAACAGAGACCTCTAATAATGTGTTCTGTGTAGTATCTATAACAAGAGATTTTAGTAATGAAGGAATAGTACTGACAAAGAAATAGAATCAGTCTCCTGACCTAACAGGTATGGCAAAGAACAGGGAAGGTTTCTTGCTAGAATTTTGTCCTTGCCCCATTCATTCTTCTCCATTTTTTCCAGGCAGACAGAAATTTTCCATAAAATTCGCTTCATTTTGTTTCTCCTTCAAATCTCTAATACCAATCTTAACTTCTAAGGTGTATAACATAACATTTCAGAGCAATAACAGCTTCTAATTATTTTAATCTATGTAGTGTGTTAGGCCTCTTACTGAACATCGTGAGCCAAGAATTAGCTGCCCAGGGGACTTGCTGTAGAAATTCTATACCCCCTATGCTGTGTAGAGGATTAGTTCCTTTGGCATCTTAGGAGATTTGAGCTAGATACCTGGCAAGGGTTCTGTTTTAGGGAAGTCCTAAGATAGACAAAACAGTTTAGATATAAAATACACTCAAGGATTAGATGGTGATTGATCTTTAGAGGAGATCAGTATTGGATTCAGTTTTGTGAATCATGGTTGGCTAGAGAATAAGGATAGTATTTCAACTTGGATAAGTAGCTAGACTCAACAGAGTGAAGTTCAGGGCTGATACATATGGGAAAAGCATACTCACCAAAAATAAAGCCAGAAAATATTCTAAGCTTCATAGAAGACACGGCAAAATTCAATCAGTAACATAACTCTTATTATGGAAAAGTAAAATAATAAACTGCTGATGGGAGCGCAGATGGTACAATATTTATGGAAGATGATGTAGAAGATCTATCAAAGATTTTAAATGTATTCAGACCCTTTAACCCAGTAGTTTGACTTTTAGAAATTGAACCTAAGTAAACAATGAGAGATGTACACAAAACTTTATGTATAAGGATGTTTTCTTAGTATTCATTATAGGGAAATACTAGAAACACCCCAAATGTTCAAGAGTGGGAGTCAGTTTA